CGTCAACGAGAGACCCCCCGCCCCCAGAATAGATTTAAATGAAAAAAGTTCAAATACGGCTTAAAATTTAGGTAATTACATCTACTTTAAAATGCAAAGTGGCAAAATAAAAAATTCAAGATGGCGGATCCAATATGGTGAAAAAAGTAAAAAAAAATGCTTGAATTCACTTGAAATTTGTTACTCGGGGGTTTTTAGGGTCGCTAAACACAAATATGAAATCAGATTTTTAATATTAAAAATGGCGGATCCAATATGGTGGCCGATTTTTAAAAATTTTAACAAATTTCAATAAAACGTATCTTATGGTGCTTTGTAGGGTTGTAAAAAGTTCTAAAGGTTTTAAATTGAATTAGAAATTTAGGTAATTACTCCTACTTTAAAATGCTAAGTGTGAAAATAAAAAATTCAAGATGGCGGATCCAATATGGTGAAAGAAGTAACAAAAAAAGCTATAATTCAATTGAAATTTGTCACTCAGGGGTTTTTAGGGTCGCTGAACACTAATCTGACATCAGATTTTAAATATTCAAAATGGCGGATCCAATATGGCGACCGATTTTTAAAAACCGAAACAAATTTAAATAAAAATTGGATTACGAGAGTTCGTAGGGTTGTAAGAAGTTCCAAAGGTTTTTTATTGAGATAGAAATTTAGGTAATTAGACATACTTTAAAATAAAAAATGGCCAAACACAGATTTCATAATGGTGAACCTAATATGACAGAAGAAGTAAAAAAAAATCTTCAATTCAATTGAAATTTGTCCCTCGGGACTAAGATAAATAGGCCTTACTTTTACTAGTTGGATTTTTACCTTTTCCTACTTTAACTAGTTGGATTTTTACCCTTTCTTACTTTAACTAGTTGGAACCTAAATTGATCTTGCCTTAATCGGTTGGACTCTTTATGTCTTACTTTCACTAGTTGGATTTTTATCCTTTCTTACTTTTACTAGTTGGAACCTAAATTGGTCTTGCCTTAATTGGTTGGACTCTATATGTCTCACTTTCACTAGTTGGATTTTACCCTTTCCTACTTTTACTAGTTGGAACCTATGTCTTACTTTTACTAGTTGGATTATTACCCATTTTGAATATTTAAAATCTGATGTCAGATTAGTGTTCAGCGACCCTAAAAACCCCTGAGTGACAAATTTCAATTGAATTATATCTTTTTTTGTTACTTCTTTCACCATATTGGATCCGCCATCTTGAATTTTTATTTTGACACTTAGCATTTTAAAGTAGGAGTAATTACCTAAATTTCAAATTCAATTTAAAACCTTTAGAACTTTTTACAACCCTACAAAGCACCATAAGATACGTTTTATTGAAATTTGTTAAAATTTTTAAAAATCGGCCACCATATTGGATCCGCCATTTTTAATATTAAAAATCTGATTTCATATTTGTGTTTAGCGACCCTAAAAACCCCCGAGTAACAAATTTCAAGTGAATTCAAGCATTTTTTTTTTACTTTTTTCACCATATTGGATCCGCCATCTTGAATTTTTTATTTTGCCACTTTGCATTTTAAAGTAGATGTAATTACCTAAATTTTAAGCCGTATTTGAACTTTTTTCATTTAAATCTATTCTGGGGGCGGGGGGTCTCTCGTTGACGTGGAATGCCCCATATATATATATATACATTGAATTTCCTGTCCACGGGCTTAAAATTCAGAGCACAGGGGAAAATGATTTCATTTATATTCGTTTTTTACGACATCAAATCAGGATATAGAGTCTCAGGATCCATGTGAATCGAGATATTTGCTAACTCCGGGGCTGCGCTCCATCAACAAATTTCTGACCCAACGAGAAACTGTTTGTTGAGGAAGGAAGTATTCGGCAGTTTTATTGATCACAAAGTGCTGCTGTGTCGAGAGGAAAAAGAAGAAGAAGAAGAAGTAAAAGAAAAAAAAAGTGCACTACCATCAGAAATAACTCGGGGCTACGAAACTACTTTCCATCCCTTCAAGGAAGTTCAATATTTATTCGTCTATACCATATTCTATATATAAGGCTTCTCCTTTCGTACTTCTTTCTTGACATATATATATATAAATAAAAGTATAAATGTCTCATCTCTTTCTTTATTTTGAAGAAAGGATCTTGAATTTTTGGTCAGGAACAGTCAAGCCTCTCAAAGTTTATACGATATGACTTTTTATCCGCACAAAACTTCTTTTACTTAAAACATTTTCTTTTTAAAAAGAGAAATCGAATGGAAAAAAAAACGACAAAAGCCATTTTCCACACAGCTTTTTGAAAAATTGACAATGTTCTCTCATCGCGTTTTATATAAATTGAGAAACATTACAATTTCATTCAAATGCACGTGACTGGCTTTATATATATATCTTTCTATTATATACCCTTAAGCCATCATTTTTAAAAAAGAGAACGGATTTTCTCCAAGTTTTAAATGGCATAATACTGAAGTATTTGACCTCAAAAAAAATTTTCATTTTAAATAATTTTATTACATATAATTATTTTTGAAACAAATTTTCATTTTTCGAATTAGCACTAAGAATTTTTTTTCTTAAACGAATTTTTACTTAAGGCCAGGTCCAAGTGAGGCAGCGCCATCTACATTGAAACTAAAATTTTGGAAAATTTTCAACAGCCTTTTCTTGAAAACAAGAAGGTAAAATGCTTTTTCCTTTATGGATAATTGATTATTGGCAAGATATACACCAGCTAAAACTTTTTTTGAGTTAAAATAATAAAAAAAATTTCATGTCAATAAATTAAATATGAGCACTTTTTTCACAAAAACTGTAACAGTACTTTCTCAGAAATTACAATCAAAAATGCAATTTCCATTTGGAAAATTAATAAACGCTAAAAAATACACGACCTAAGATTTACCAATCACGAAAATAAAAAAGAAAAAGTATTTTAACATAACATATTTTACTCATTATGACAGCCGTTTGGCAGGTTATATATGTCACCAGACGTTTCGCAGTTTTGCCGAAAGGAGGAGATTGGCGCTGTTGCTAACCACCTGAATTACATAATCTACCAAAGGGCTGTCACAATCAGTAAAGCAGTATCAATATGTTAAATATTTAATAAAAAATTTTTTTTGTTATTTTCGTGATTGGTAAATCTTAGATCGTGTATTTTTTAGCGTTTATTAATTTTCCAAATGGAAATTGCATTTTTGATTGTAATTTCTGAGAAAGTACTGTTACAGTTTTTGTGAAAAAAGTGCTCATATTTAATTTATTGACATGAAATTTTTTTTACTATTTTAATTCAAAAAAAGTTTTAGCTGGTGTATATCTTGCCAATAATCAATTATCCATAAAGGAAAAAGCATTTTACCATCTTGTTTTCAAGAAAAGGCTGTTAAAAATTTTTCAAAATTTTAGTATCAATGTAGATGGCGCTGCCTCACTTGGACCTGGCCTTAACAGATTTTTTAGGTGTCGAATTTTTGTTTGTGCAGAATTTTTATACTCAAAAATTTCTCTTTACACAAATTTTTATTTAAAAAATTCGAATTTAACCAAATATTAATTTAGCAGATTTCTCATTCAATAGAATTTTAAATGATTTTAATTTTAAAATTGTAGAATTTCCGGAACGCATGATTATGTTCTAAAAATCATTAGTTAGAATTTTCATTTTATGGAATTTCATTTGTCATAATTATTTTTGAGCCGAAATTTTATTTGCACGAATTTTTATTTGATAGTTGAAACCGAAACTACAAATGGCCAAATAAACATAACCTACAAAAGAGATTTTGCCGCACTTTTTAAAATACGACCAATCAGAAATTATTAAGAAAATTATGATTGGTTAATTCTAAAATTCGTGCCAAACTATTTTTGTAGGTTATGTTTGTAATCATTTGCAATTTCGAACAAATGAAAATTCGGCTTTTAAGAATTCAATTAACTAACAAATTGGTGCAAATAAAAAAAAAAATAAACAAAAAGAAAATTGACAAAAAGATTTTGCCGCTAGTTTCAAAATTAACCAATCACAATACTCTATTGATAATTTCTGATTGGTTATTTTTAAAATTGGCGGCAAAATCATTTTGTAGGTTATGTTTATTTGGACATTTGCAACATCGCGGACAAATGGAAATTCGGCGTTTTAAGATTTCTATCAAATAACAATTTGTGTAAATAAAATAAACGAAAAAATGAAGATTCGGTGAATTGTAAATTTTGGTATTTAAAAATTTTGAATTGCATAAAATTTTTTTGAATGAGAAGTTCGCGCTAAATTAATATTCAATTAAATCAGAATTTCAATTTTTTAAATAAATTGCCTAAAAAATCAGAAAGGTATAAACATTCGTTTAGAAAAAAAATTCCGTCAAATGCTAATTCGAAAAATGAAAATTCGTCTAAAAAAATAATCGAGCATTATTTTTATTCTTAAATAAATATTTAAATAAAAATTATTTTATAAAAATTTAATTTATACTTTCATTTAAATTCCTAAAAAAATTCTGTCAAAATGAGACTTTGGTTAAATAAAAATTTAATGTGATTTCAATTTTCAATTGTTGTCAAGACGAATAGCGAGAGGAGAGATGATGTGAAATTTTCGGGGATTTATATTATCAAATAATAATAGAACTTGTAATCATTCATCGGTGAATCCAGGGGACCGCTCTCGTTAAATTATTCTTTATTGGATGTATAAATTATTCCATATAATGAAAATTTATCTTCATAACGGCGAAGCTTAAATTCCATTTTGAATTTTATGCATTCTAAGTTATTAAATTCTTATATAGTCGCATCCCTCTATAATAACGTTGCCATTGGCAAGGGGGGGTTTGAATCGATTGAAATTTTTATAGTCTTTAAAAGGTTTGAAAATTCCATTTTAAAAACCGAAAAAAATGAATGATATTTTAATATGAAAATAAAAATTTTTAGAAAGATAAAAATAAAAATATATGTTTTAATGATAAGTACTGTTTTAGAAAAATAAAAAAATTATATTTTTCTTCTGTTAAGGTGTGCGATTGTCTTGGAATCAGCAAGGAGTGTGACTATTTTGGATTGAAATATCAAAATGCAAAAGGAGAAGAACTCTGGCTAAATCTTCGAAATCCTATTGAGAGACAGACTGGTGGTGGAGTTGCACCTCTCAGATTTGCACTAAGAGTGAAGTTTTGGGTGCCGCCTCACCTGTTGCTGCAGGAGGCAACCAGGTATCAATTTTTTTTTTTTTTGATATTTTAAAATTATTTAACAAAATATTTTACTAATTTTAAAATTTAGCAAAAATTATTTCCATTCTGAAGAGTTTTTAAATTTACATTTAGCAGAAATTACATTGAAGAGAATTTTTATTTAGCCTAAAAAAAAATTATTCAGGAAAATATTTTTATCGAGCAGAATTTTCATTTAACAAAATTTGTTCTTAATTCACAATTAACCGAATTAATAGCAGTAAGGGTACACGGAGGAAAATGGATTTTTGTACTTACTAAACATGGAACTTAGAAATTTTGTTTGGTACCTACAAAAAAATCTGTATTATTGCAGTTACAAATTCTTTAGTAATAATACTAACAAAATATTAGTTGGTATAACAATACAAATTTGTTGTAAGGAACAATAAAAATTTGTTGTAGTGACCAAACAAAATTTGTTAGTTCCAAGTTTAGTAAGTACAGTGTAATAAATTTTGATCCTATTGCATTTCGGTCCTAACGGATTTTTAAAGAAAAATTCGATATTTTCTATATTCCATTTTTTTTTCTCTTTGCCAACTTCGTCAGTGGATTTTTTTTTATCTCAACTTTATTTCGTGCCTAAAACCATGGGAGGTGGTATTAGTTGAAAATAGAAAGGATAATAATATCAGTAGAAAAGGTAAATAGTATGACTGCGCGCTTAAAGGGTAGTCGTGGACTCTTGTTTGGAGATCCTGATTGGTTCGTTAGGGGATAAACTTGAGTATATGTATGTATATTTTAACAAAGTTTCTTGGTAAATAAAGTTAACTGCCATATATATATATATATATATATATATATATATATATATATATATATATATATATATATATATCAAAAGGGAATTACTTCTATATATAGCATACATATAGAAGTTCCAATCAAATTCCTTATATATAATATATATATATACGTATAGAGACGATTTTGCCAGAAAGCAGTTTGCATAATGCTCAAACACATCAAAACCATCGGTTTTCAGAACCAATGGAATATTGTACACTCGAATAAATTCACAAATTTGACTCACACTATTCGTCTCTGATTTCGATAGAATTTCTCTCTCTCTCTTTCATTCCCATCAAATCGCTCTTTCTATTTTCTCCCTTTACCTCACGATTCCCTCCTATATGTAATATCTAAATTAAATCCTATTTCACGTTAATTTAAATTGCCTTTGATTATTCAAATTTTTTGTTTTGAATTTGAACCATTTTCCCTCAAAAAATAGTTTTTTTTCAACCATTTTTTCTTTTATTTAACGAGTTTTTTTTTATTGTTATTGTTCGTAATTGTCAATTTTCGTTAGTCTGGATAATAATAAAAAAAAAAGGTTTGAGATCGAATTTTTTTCTACTGACCCACTTTCCGCTAGTAAATTAGCTTTCAAACCGCAGAACCTGCTCCGCTGGAAAAATAGACTTTAAATGCTCCCTCTTCATGACTCTAACCGCAGGTCCATTTAATTCTCATCCTCGCCCTCGTCACCGGGAGATTTAATCCGCACTCTCTCTCTGTCTCTCTCGCTCTCTCTCTGGTGTTTTTCAACTTTTTGGCATCAAACGAGAAGCAAAATTTCTCTCCGCAAAATGAGAAAACCGAATTCAAATTTCTCGTATTTACGACTTTGGTTAAATACACTACATCAAAACAAGAAAATCAACAATTTTCAAACGACTGGTATTATATTCGAGTTAAGAGATTGAATATATAGAAATAAATACAATATTTATATTTTTTTTTTAAATAGAAAAATTATTATAGAAGAATGAAAATAGTCTTTTTTAAGGTAAGGGGAAAAAAGTGCTATTTTTGACTCTAGGAGGAAAAAAATCAAGTTTTTTTTTGACTCAAGGCAAAAAAGAAAGAATCATTTTATAATTTTACTGGTGAGACAACGCGCACCAACCCCCATTATTTTTCACTTTAATGATTAATTTTTTAAAGGCTTGCAAGTATTAAAATTATTAAAATTTTATCTAAATTTTAAGGTTATGTTCGTTTCTTGATTAGGAGAATTTGAAGTTATGTTTGTCGGACATAGCCTCATACCCAACGGTCCCTTGACGTAATTCCTTTAATTTTGAGGTTATATTTGAACTAAGTCCTCGAATCCTGGAAACTATGCCCTAAAATTTTGAGGTTATGTTTGATCTCTGACCATGAATCCTGGAACCCTATGCCCTTGAATTTTAAGGTTATGTTTGATCCATGTCCTTGAATCCTAGAAATCTCGGACCTTGAATTTTGAGGTTATGTTCGTTTTAATACTAATATGGGTCGTTCTACGTAAATTTGCCTGTGGGTTTGAGGATAAAATTAGAACTAAAATACTAATATACGTATATATATATGTAATTCCATGTCAAAAGTAACCAACCTAACATTTACCTTATCAAAAACATAGGTTGGTACACTTGACATGGAATGACCCATACTGGAGACAGCGGCAAAATCTTTTTATAATATAGATAGATATTTTAAAACATAATTTGTTTTCTAATTGTTGATCATAAACGAATGTGGATTTCAACATCAAAGGCATATAAATTGTCCTTTTCAGACTCCCTGGGGGGTAGAAATAGACTCTTTCGATCTATCTTTTGTGTTCATTTTCAAAAAAATCTAAATCAATCTAAATTGTAAATATTTTTTCACTTATTACATAAGCACACCAAAAAAATGTATTTTCTGAGCTCAAGGTCAAACTATGACTATATAAATTATGTTTTTGGTCTCGCTGAAGCCGAATCTGAAGTCTATTTAACCCCATCACGTCAGGCTTTTTAAAGAAACTCAAAAATTTTGACCCAAAAATTTTGGCATCTAGAAAAATTCTGATAGATAAATATTAACATATATCTACTTTATGTTTTTGGGGTCGTTGATGTCAAATCTGAAGTCTATTAAACCCCATCACATCAGGCTTTTGACATAACCTTGAAAAAAACATTTTAAAAAATGAAATTTTGGGACTTTTTCAAAGTTATGTCAAAAGCCTGACGTGATGCGGTTAAATAAACTTCAGATTTAGCTTCAGCGACCCCAAAAACATAAATTAGACATGGTACTACTTATATATCAGAATTTTTCTAGATTTCAAAATTTTGGGACTTTTTGAGTTTGTTTCAAAAGCCTGACGTGATGGGGTTTAATAGACTTCAGATTCGATGTCAACGACACCAAAAACATAAGGTACTCATGATAAGACTTGTAGGTTCGAATTTTTCATGATTTAATGATAGAACGTCCAAGCGCCCGTCCTGCCGGAAGGCTTTTTTGGATGGCCCTATATATATGAGGGTGGTAAAAAGGGAACTCAAAATTTTTTTTTTTTCACCTTTTCTTATTAAAGTAGACGTAAAAACGAAAAAATTCATGCGTTAGACTTTAAAAAAAATAATATTAAACCATGTTTCGAAGCCTTCAAACTTTGCATGTTTGCAACAAGCCAAAAAAAACAGTTTTTCGTAAATTCACTGTAAAATCTACAAAAACCAATATTTTTCAGTCTAACTACTCTCATTTTCTTCTGAAGTCTTCAAAGAATAAAGTGCGATAGTTTATTTTAAAAAAAATTTAAATTAAAAGTTTAAATATTTTTTTGGATTCGTCAAAAAAACCCTATAAAAACGTCCTTTTTCTTTGAATTCCCTAGCCTAGGGATTTTAATTTACAAACATTATGTTTACATGCGCTAAAAGCTTGTGTTTTTACCTTTCCAACGATATATTTTACTTTTGGATTATCTGAATCCATGTTAATTTTATAAAGCGATTTCGGAGGGACTTACGTGAGTCTTTTTCATCCTGCCGGAAGGCTGTTGGACGTTCTATCATTAAACATTTTTAAGGCAAATTTTGAGGCTTTTTTTTAGGTTATGTCAAATACCTGACATAATGGGGTTAAACTGACTTCAGATTCGATTTCAACGACACCAAAAACATAAGACACTCATGATAAGACTTGTAAGTTCGAATTTTTCATGATTTTAAAATTTTTAAGACAAATTTTGAGGCTTTTTTTTAAGTTATGTCAAATACCTGACATATGATGGGGTTAAACTGACTTCAGATTTCGGTTTTAGCGACCCCAAGGCAAAAACATAAACTACAGTCATGGTTTGACCTCGAGCTGAGAACATAAATTTTTTTTTTTTAATATGCCTGTATTATTATCTCATGCGGCAATAATATTCAATTTTTCTTCTATTTCAACACAGTAATGTATAATCTATTAATTTTTCGGCTTTCTCGCGAGTGACGTGAAATTAGTCGCGCATAGAAAGTATTAAAAAGTTTCAAGTCGAGTGCATTCACTTGGAATTTTGCAGAAAGTTCATGACATTTGTGAATCTTTAAATGGAAATAAATCATGGCATTTGAGAGATGAGGAGTGAATTCCAGCACTATGGAGCACTTTCAGGCTATCTTCATCTTGCCAAACAAGGAACGAAGAAACATTTGTCACCGACGCTGACGGCTATTGGTTCAACTCTGTTGGATGGGAGAGGGGCTGAAGGAGAGCTTTTCGCTTATATATATATATAGTTTATCGTGGGTTCAAGAGGGGAAAACCCTTCTTGGTCTCAGACTATTGGTTTCCCGTCACCGTCAAACTTTTCAACTTATGAAGAACTCGCCAACTTTCTCAATGGTTAACTTAGCAGCTACACTGCCTTGCGGAACAGAGTTAACGAAAACTTTTTAAATTCGTTGGAAAACCACTGCCAGATATGTTCCAAATTTATATACACTCAATAGGTCAATATAACATTTCCCGGAAAAAAAAGAAAACAAAAATATTTTTAAAAAAAAGTAACGAAAATAAACAAAAAAATTGCAACTTTAAATTAAATAAAACCATATGTGTCCTGATTTTAAAAAAGAGATCAAAAAAGCAAATGAATTATAGGTTATGTTTATATAACAATTTTACTTTGATTGAAAATTTCTTTCTTTCATTAACTT